CACTACCCCTTCCCTGCCACCTTTACTTTACTCAAGAGAACGTGTCCTACGCCTGATCGGAGTTGGACCCTATTGTCATTTTCCTTATGATCCGACTGTTTGGTAAGGTTTTGCAATAAGTTTTGAGACACATATTTAATATTCTTATTTGTATTTTTAGAATTTAAGATATTATTATTATTTACAAAACTTAAAAATTCATATTTTTCACGTTATTAAAAAATGTCAACTCATGAATCGACCGTGTAACCGTCCAAATCTATTGCCAGTAGATATTTTCTTCTATAGAATTTTCTTTTCCGTCTTTCCTTAAAATTTTTAAAGTTTTTAAAACGCGTTTATTAACGAGAGATTTTCACACTCTTGTAAAGTGTTTTGTTTCCCTCTCGTGTTGAGATATATTATTTATGGAATATATCTTAAATATTATATCTTAATATTCTTCCATTTATGGTTAGACTTATAGTATATTTTACTTTATTCTAGTATTTAATTATTTTATATTTTCCTCATTTGTACTGGCTTGTATCCTATTTAAAGGATATCAATATCAATGATAATACACACCTTTCCAATTTTATTTTCTATCTCATTCTTAACATCTCGGATCTCAAAATTCATCCATTTTGGGGCTCAGCATCCTCGTTGGCACACTGTCTGGTGTCCACCACTGTCTAGTGTCTAGGAAGGGAACCAAACATTTTTTTATAATGGTGTGAAAACATCTCTTTGCGGCTTAGACGGTTACAAACACAAATATTAGGGTTTCTAAAAATGCAATCTAAATTTAAATCCTAAATAGAAAAAAAACTCAATCCAATCGTTATGGTTTGGGTTGAGTAGTCTGGATTGGTCGGTTATTAGGTCATTTAAACACCCACCATTAGTAATAATATTTATTATATTTGTATGTGATTATTTAATTATTAGTAGTATTATTAATTATAAAAAAAAATTAGTAAAATGAAAAAAAAAATTAATTAAATAAGTTCAATTAATTATACAGCTTTCAAAAGTTAAAAAAGAAATGTCAACATTACCAATGTATTTAGAGTAGTAATTAAATAATTAGCTAATTAATATTTTCAATTAATTAAATTAATAAGAAAAGAATCCATTAGTGAGAAATCCAAGAACATCCAGCTATGATCAACTTAAACAGAAAAAAAATATATCAATAATAATTAAAAATAATTAAAAATAAAAGAATAAGCCCACTAATCAAGGTTTAGGGAATCATTTAGTGAGGTTAATTAAAGATTTAAGAGGGAGCTCTGTTAAAATTTAAAAATCTCTCCTCCTTTTCCTCTTCCCAACCACTTCCTAATTTTAATCCATTTTTTTTTATTTTTTTTATTTTTTAAAAATAAATTATAATAATAATTTTGATTTGTGTTTTCCCACAATTGGGACTCACCCATCAATGCGCTGTCGTTTCTCTCCCTCTTTCATCTTCTTAATAATTCGTATGATATCAAATAATAATAACAATAATAATGCTACTAATTAGGGATATAACTTATAAGATAAAGTACCAAACTTAGTACTATAGTTTAAATATATCTCATAAACTTTATAAACTATACCCGTTAACAATGATATACCTGAATAGTTTATTATCACTATACTCGGTGTCTTAAATACAGTTTTAATAATATTGATGTATCAGTAGTGTAACGACCTATATCCACCGCTAGTAAATATTGTCCTATTTGAGCTTTCCCTTTCGAGCTTTCCCTCAAGGCTTTAAAACGCGTATGCTAGGGGAAGGTTTCCACACTCTTATAAATGGTGGTTTGTTCTCCTCTCCAACCAACGTGAGACATCACAGTCCATCCCTCTTTGGGGTCTAGTGTCCTCGCTCGTACTCTTTTCTTCCTCCAATCGATGTGGGACCACTCCCAAATCCATCCCCATTTGGAGCCTAGCGTCTTTACTAACACACCGCCTCGTGTCTACCCCCTTTTGGGGAACAGTGAGAAGGCTAGCACATTGTCTTGTGTCTGACTCTCTGATACCAATTGTGATGTCCCACATTGGTTGGGGAGGAGAACAAACCACCATTTAGAAGGGTGTGGAAACTTTCCTTTATCAGACACGTTTTAAAGCCTTGAGGGGAAGCCCGAAAGGGAAAGCCTAAAGAGAACAATATCTACTAACGGTGGATCTGGGTCGTTACAAGTAATCTCAATTCATTTATATACCCATGTGTTCGTTTTGGCCCTTTACATATCATTACGCATCTACTAGGGAGAGGTTTCTCCACAACCCTTATAAGAAAATGTTTCGTTCCTCTCTCCAACCAACGTGGAATAGGGAGAGGTTTCTCCACAACCCTTATAAAAAAATGTTTCATTCCTCTCTCCAACCAATGTGGAATCTCACAATCCATCCTTTTGAGGGCCAGAGCCAGTATCATTGCTAGCACACCTCTCCGTGTCTAGCTTTGATATCATTTACATAAGCTCAAGCTCACGAGAGAGAGGTTTATACTCGTTAAAGGGAGAGAGAGAGAGAGAGGAAAGAGAATGAAAGGCGATGAAAGGAAATGATTAAAGGCAATGAGAATCCAACATGATTTTAGGGTTAACCAATGGGTATGGAAAGGAGAGAAGTTTATGAGTACAAACTCAAAGCCTCTCCCTTTAAACATTATACACAATAATGAATTATTATGAATGCCCTCTTCACTTTGTTGTTCGTGTTTTAGATAAAAAGATGCAAAAAAGTTCACTTTCAACCCCTTTTCCCTTACTCCAAAACAATAAAGATAAAACCCCCTTTTCCCAACTTTTTAGGGGATCACCCTTTCCATTATGTTTGACCACTTTTATTATTGTTTATTTACCCTTTCTTTTTATTAATAGTCCCCGTAGATTCTAAAAATAAATTTGAATCGTGATGTTCCAGTAAAGAAATGAACCGAGATCACATTCGAACGAGAATGATGGTATGATGATTTGAAACTCCTCCTTTTCCGTTGCTCTTCATAGGAACTTTCATACTTGAACGGGGTGATCTCTTAAAAAAATTTCTAGAAAGCATATGAATGAGAACAAAACATGGTTAAAGAACATGTGTTAGTGTGTGTTCGTATAAGCTTTTATGGCTTTGTTTTGGGCTTCCTCAAAAGGTCTCGTCCCGATGGAGAGTGTATTATTTGATTATAAACCCATGACCATTCTCTAAATTAACGAATGTGGGACACTTTCATCCAACAATATAGACCCAAAAAAATAAATGGAGAATTTTGTAAGAACCAAGAATGAACTAAGAAATGAGAATAGGGATAAAGATATCTATCTAACCCACCGAGATCCACCTTGAATGGAATAAGAAATACTCATTTAAATGAGAACTACACGGAGACGGGGATTATATTCACCGTCTCCGCACCACCCCCTCACTTGCTTAGTGTATATGTATATATGTATATGTATATGTATTCATACGTGTGTATATATTCAATTTTCTCGACCAACACTCACCGGAAACACAGCCAGTCAGTGAAGGAGAAGAAAACAGGGACAACGCCAGACAAGCCAAGCCAAGCCAAGCCAAGCCTGTGAGAATGAGAACAAGTCGGCTCCCACGCTTCGGCTTAAATATACTTTTTATTCTCTTTTTTCTCCCCACAAATACTACCGTAATATATAATCTCCTTAATATATTATTTAACACCTAAATAATATTACATTTTTTATTTTTTATTTTTAAAAATTAAGTTTAACCCAACTCATTAATTACTAAAATAAAATTAGTAAGTTAAATAATATTAACTTTAAATTAGATGTATTAACAAGGTACTCAATCTATAAAATAATAATATTCAAAATAAAAATTATTAACAAATCCTTTATTCATATTTAATTTAAATTAGTCATTTTAAGATAATATATTTTGTTTTTTTTGACAAAGTCAATTTTCTCAAAAACCTTTCTTATTATATTTTTATTTTAAAATAAGTCATTTTCTTTACAAAAACTAAGTTAATGAATTTAAAACAATAAAATAAAATAAACCATTTATTTTTTTTAATTATTATATTTCAATAGTAATAAAAATATTTTATTTTTAACTTACCTCAATGGTTCAAAGGAAGGGTCCGCCTGTAATATAATTTTACTACTCTCTCTTTTTTTTCATAATATTTTAAAAAATATATTCCTTTACATAATTTCTATTTTTCAATTCAATATAATTTCATTTGAATTTAATTACATTTCATAAATAAAAATATAAAATAATATTTAACCTAATTTCTAAAAATTCAAATTTTAATCTTATATCTTCCCAAGCAAAATAAGGTAGGGCACGAATTGCAAGCTCCCTTTTGCCTTTGCACTGGAGGGCCAATCTTCGTCTGGTCTGAGAAAACCTTTGCACGCCTCCGTTACCTTTTAGGAGGCCTATGCCCCATAGAAACTATCTACTTGAGACTGTCCCTTGGCCCGTAGGTCCTGACACAAGGTTAGAATTCTAGGTCCCGACACAAGTGGGCCTTCTTCGCCCTCCACCTAAGCCATGAAAGGCACAAAGCCAATCCCAGGGAACAATTGGATTAGGTCGGGAAGGGGAATGTAATTCCCATCCCAGCACTGTTTATCTACCGAAAAGAAATCTTTTTCCACTCTCTTCTCTTTTCCGACTTTGGATATAGTCAATTTGAACTGGGTCGGTCGAAAAAGACATATTTGGCTCAAATAATGGGGGAGAAATTAATTAAGAACAAAATCTTGAAAGAAGTGGACTTTGCCACACAAATAGTGACATTCCAAATAAAAAAGTGGGTGGAGACGGTGGCGAGACCACTCCCATTTCCTACAACTCAACTCTCTTTGACAAAATGAAAGCGACTTCACCAAAAAATTCAATATGAACACCCAAATATATATATATATATATATATATATATATATAAGCCATTGTAGGCAGTTCACATTCACACGTGCGACTCAAACATATTAATATTCATTCAACTAAGCCACTCATAGAAGAAGGTAAAAGATTTGGCAATCGTGAATGATGGAAGAAGAACAAGATTCATCGTTGCTATTTCATGATCAGTATCAATTATTCAACGCCACCCCCACCTCCGATTCACCTCCATTATTCAACCACTGGCGGTCTTGCGGTGGCTCAGCGGCCGTGGCATCTTCATCGTCTCAGATGATCTTATTTCAGGAGGGTAAGTTTTGTCCGGCGGCGGCTGAGATTTGGCCGTTGGTTAATGTTGGTAGAAATCCGCCGCGTGCTAAAGATCACGTTCTGGCTGAGAGGAAACGCCGGGAGAAACTCAGCCAGAGATTCATTGCTCTTTCAGCCCTCTTACCTGGCCTTAAGAAGGTACCCAAATTATACTAATTTTACCTTTAATTAGGCATAATATGGAATCATCAGCTATAAGTTTTCCCGACTTTACTTTTGAGTATTCTCAAAAAGTCCTCGTACTCATAGAAATTCTTTATAAACTCATGAACCTTCTTTAAATTAGCTTACGCTCAAAGTGAATAATCATATCATTGTGGAGAGTCAGTGATTCTTTACTTATAAACCCACGACCATACCTTTACGTTAGCCATGTCGATAGAATTCTCAGATTTTGAACAAAGAATTGTGACCCTCGAAGGTGTAGTCAAAAGTGACTAAAATATCAAACAAAATGTGTACTTTGTTTGAAGGCTCAAGAGAAAGAGTCGAGTCTCGATTAAGGGGAGACTGTTCTAGGGCTCCATAGACCTCGGAGGAGGCTCTATGATGTACTTTGTTCGAGAAGAGAATTGGTGAGACGGAGTCCCACATTGATTAATTAAGAGGATGATCATGGGTTTATAAGCAACGAGGTCTACCTAATGCTAGATGTAAAGGCGCATAATAGATCGATATGAATAAAACCTGTTGTTGCTGATACTTTTGTCTCGGTTCCTTCTTCCATAACGGAGAAGGAAGAGGATAGACTATAGAAACAGACATCTCTTATCTCAATGACCACCGGTATATTAAATGAATGGAATTGGGATATGGATGGAATACAATGAAATAGAGCCATTTTGAGGTTCTCTATGAAATGGGACATGAAACGGGGCATGAAACGGAGCCACTACGAAGAAATACATCTCCATTGGGGCAAAGTCACGAAAGTTTATGGCTCAAAATAGACAATATCATATTGTTACGAGATTCATGATTGACCCATATCCATGATAGATTCATTATTATAATTTGTTTTACAGATGGATAAAGCCTCAATTCTAGGAGATGCAATCAAGTACATAAAACAGCTACAAGAACGTGTGGAATCACTAGAGGAAATGGGCAAGAACAGCAACATTGAATCAGCCATTTTCATAAAGAAATCCCATTTATGTAACAACATGAATGGTTGTTGTGATGATATTGATGGCGAAGAACACAATCACAAAACTGGATTTTCCGACCAAAAACTAGTGGAAATGGAAGCCAAAATCTCAGACAAACATGTTCTTGTTCGAATCCACTGTGAGAAACATGAGGGTTTGTTGGCGAAGTTATTAGAGGAAATGGAGAAGCTGAATTTTAAGATCATTAATGGCAATGTCTTCCCCTTTGGCAGCTCAACCCAATATATGGTTTTTCTTCTTCAGGTTCCTTCTAACACCATCTCTTATTCAATTAATTCCGTGAATTTATGCATCCAAGTACCATTTTTTCGATCTAATTATGAATATATTCTCTTTCGTTGCAGAGAAATTCGGACTTTAATATAGAATCAAAAGAGCTCGTACGAAAGTTAGAAGATGAATTGTTCAAGTTCATAACAACATAACAATCCGTTGATCGATCAAGACACAAATAAATTTTTTTAAATTATAGCTTTAAATCTTTATCTGTATTTTGTTTGAACGGTAAAAATCTGATTATTCTAGATCATGCTCAAATCTTCACTTCACTTGTTTATATCCATACATTCTAGTTGTTTCTGCATCATCCCTGATGTTTGTTCTAATAATTAGAGATTATTAGTCACTTTTTTTAAATAATACATATAATAATTAGAAAAATTCGTTAAATAATTGGTGTATGTTTATTATTATTATTATTATTTTTTTTTAAATTATCGGATAATTATAAAACCTTTCGATAGATATATATATAAATTTTTAATTTCATGTCGAATGTGTTCTTGTCACTAACATCATCAATTTAGTATTTACGTTATTCTAAACTTACCCAAAATTAACTCACCATGTAATCTTTAAATAAGTGGGGACGGGGACGGGGACGGGGACGAAAAGTATATTTATATTAAGCGGGTCCCATTTATTTAACGAGAAAAAAATGTTCTCTACTCCCTCCCTTATTTTTCATCTAAACAGGAAATACATTTCCGGTTCAGGATGGATCCCTACCGATAAAATGGACATCTCTATCAAACCGTGCATAAGTTTAGGTCAGACTTTATCCAAATGAATTTAACGAATTTACTAAGATTTTTATCGTGTTGATCGAGTGAGTCAGTGAAAATTAAATTAAGAATAGAGATTGCAATATTGATTAAAGTTTAGAGTCCAAAATTGTTGGAGGGAAGTCAAACTCAAATGCCCCCACCAACCAATTTGGATCCAGTTAGGTGGACAAGAACATGATGGCCCAGATGGTTGTTGCCGACCCCTAATGTAATAGGTCGCATGAATTTGTGTTCAAGATTTAATTGAACTTAATTCCAATGCTGATAGAGACTGGGTTTGATTTTGGTAATCACTAGGAAAGCGATCTTTGAACCACAAACAAACAATATAAAACTCTGTTTTTTGTTTTATTTTAAACTCAAATATGAATTAGTCGTTGCCATATCCATTCGATAGATAGTTGAGTTAGATTTAAAAGAGTGACGTGATGCTTTGATTTTCATACATAATGATTTCTATTTCTAGTATATTTGTTAACAAAACGACCATAGAATAGATTCAGAGAGAGTGCTCGATCTTCTCAAACTCAATTCATCGCACATCTACTCAGTAACCGAACTTCAAGTTTAGAACCAGACCTTGACAAGCAAGATCACCTGAACATAATTTAACGACTTCAGCTTAGGCTAATAAAGTAAAAATAAGGCTGTCATGTATGGATGATAGCATCGGTTCGGAGGTCATGGAAACAAAGTCACGATAGTTAGATTTTCGCATTTAAGTCATGATCCTTGTGTTAGGAGAAGTCAACATCATTAATTTTAAAATCTTGATAAGAGATGTTAATTTTCAACTATGTTATTTTATGATGTTATTATTACGTTTCAAATAAATTTATGAACATTTAAAGTCCATGTAAAGTGAGTTATTTTTAAATGATTTTACGTGCACACACAAATATGTCTCGTAATAAGTTACAACAGTTATTTCCTTTCATTCCAGTTAAGCTGTTTGAAGCCGGACGAAGAATACATTTTTTTTTACGACTCCGGGTCAGAAAATGATGTATTGTAGTATGATATGTTAGTCCATGATATATTATAGCATGCCATGTGTACTATGATCTGTTATGTTAGGTGATGATATACCATGACATGTCATGATATGTTTTGAAATAAGATCTATATGATGCATCACCTCCTTATGCCATGATTCGGAAGCTATGTTATGTATGAACTGATGTATAAGAACTACGATGAAAGAATGGAGGTTGTCTTGAATTATTTATTACGCCATGATGGAAAGTATGAGAACTACATGCATAATTGTATGTGCACGTGCATCGGGATACTTCCCCATTATGATGTGTACGGACTCGTACACTATGAGACTAAAATGACCATCATGTTTACCATGATGCTATGACGATCGCTATTCCCTTCGAGTGTCTAGCAACCGCCTGTCGGCGAGTGTTAGCCCAACCAGCAGACCTAGAGGTGTGTGAACCCACTTGGTGGGCCCATATTCGCAAGTGTGAGTCGTGCGTAGAGAAATACTACATATCCAACTTAGCCCAACCAATAGACCCAGAGGTGTGCGAACCCACTTGGTGGATTCACGTTTGCACGTGTGGGGTCATGTGTAGAGAAGTACTACATATTCAACTTATCTCGGACGGGAAAGCCGCCAAAGAGAATGAAATGATAAGTTCCAGCATGTTGTATGTGTTTGCATTTCAATGACCTAATAGCGGGGTAAAGACAAGACACCCCTGTATGGATGACGAAAGTGACACGTAAAGATCATGGAACCAGTATTATGATAGTTGCGTTTCATCTTATTTTACGGTCCTAGGTTTGATTAGGGAAATATTTTGTTTTCTAGTTTTTGAATATATCGTTTATTCTCGTTTCTTATATGTTTTTTTTTATTAATTTAAAGATTTTATTTTTAACGTGCAAGTCTTATGACATCATTTTTTTAAAATATTTTAAAGTAACATTTGCATTTAATAGTTAAATCATGCATGAAGTAGTGGTGGGCTTAAAATCCAAAAGCGCCATAAAATCCACGAGAGATAGGTCTTGAACAATCGACCAATCAACATCCGAGGATAAGTTTCAAAGAAAATGTACGAAGCAGGAGAGATAGGAAATCCAAAAGCAAACGAATGGATGACACTTACATGCATATGGGATCCCCGAAAGAGAAAGCTTAAAGAGGACAATATCTACTAGTGATAGGCTTGAGCCGTTACATTTGGATTCACCTATAAAGCACACGAATGAGTATGATCCTCTTAACCCATATTTAGTGCTTGGATGAAGACCTTGATGCTTAGGATTTGATATTAAAAAGTATTAATGATGCAGGTAGCTTTGTGGATTCAGTATCAATTCGTTAACACGACATTTACAAGTTTATCTTTGCTTATTGCAGGACTCAGACACCATCTTGGCACATTAATCATGTCTACTTTAGCCTTCAAATGTGTAAGAAAAAAAATCCATAGACGGTTCTTATCCTTAGCCCAAGCTCACAGTTAGCAAATATTGTGTTTTTTGAGTTTTTTCTTTCGAGCTTCCCCTCAAGGTTTTAATAAGCATTTGCTAAGAAGAGGTTTCCACGCCCTTACAAAGAATGTTTCGTTCTCCTCTCCAATCAATATGAGATATATTGCTCGAAAATCGAAAGTATATCATTCTTGCCGTTATATCTTTATTTTGAAACAAGATTATATGCATCCAAAACTAGGAATGGAAGAAAAGAAGAAAGTTATTCAAAATAAGGTGGTGACATAATAAGTGGAAGTAGTAGGAGTATGAGTAGGAGTGGTGATAGATATCATTTTGGAACACATGTAGCATAGACAAAGGGTGAAGTGGAGACTATTCTGCATTGGCAGGAGCGGCCACAAGAAGAATCCCTGGTGCAAAAGCCGGAGGGACACTTTCCCATACTCGATCCCAGGCCTTTAAACATTTTTCTGGACACGCCATCCAACAACCTTTCTGCACCTTCATTTTGTACCAATTCTGAAGGAAGTTGAATGAGTTCATCTTCAATGCCACTCACTGATACCATTATAAGCATCATGGCTACCATTGCCAGCACCAAACCAGCCCTCTTCCTCCCCATCTATGACCTCTCTCTCTGTGGCTTGATATGTTTCTTCTCATACCTTTCCTATGCTCTGCTTGTTATATATCACAAGTGGGAGAGTAGACAAGAATACATGTGCGTTAATAAAAAGGAATCCAAGGAAGAAAGGACTCCAAAAGCAATGGGATGAATGGCATTTAATGTATTAGGGGTCATGTGACAAACACTGCCACCTACAAGGGCTTATCTCATTGGTATTGCCCCTAATACTCTTAACTTGTGTGCCTTCTACTCAATGCCTATCCTCATCCATCCCTTCTATCTTCTATCTTTTCACCACACCACACGATCCTACGGTCGGTGTTATTCGAGTTTACTACAAATGGAAATAGGTTCGGAATACAATTTTGAACAAAATATAAGACTCCAAAATACATAAACTAGATTGGTCCCAAGACGATCCCTTCTATGATTGCGTAGCTCATGAACGCTCCTCTTTCTGAGCCGACAGTCATGGAACACATGAAAAGAATGTAAAATTGGATGAGTATAAAAATATTCCGTAAATAGTTTACTCGTAGGTTTTCATTGCATCAAATCCATAATAGGATAACACAGCCTTTTACTTGTAGTTTTCGTTGCATCCAATCCCTAAAAGGTTACTACATACTTTTCTTTGAGCTCTACTAAGTTGGGACCTAATTCATCAGTTAATTATTTTTAAGATGACTATCACAAACCCACTTTTGAAAAGGGACTCTGACCATCACAAACTCACTATGGGTCCAGAGGTGGTGGTTCTAATGAACTTTGTATCTCAACTAATGTCCAACATCTTGAGTTGAGATGCTACATCATAGAATAGAATCTATTAGAATAATTATTGTACACATGCAAGTCTTTAATGAATTATTCTTGATTATTAACAAGACTATGCCTTATGTCTTAACACAATGGATTGAAATTTTCAAAGCAGACATTCATAAGCTCTGATTTAATTCAAAAGAGTCTGCAAATACAACGATTAAAAATGTCTTATCTATCTATTTCACAGGTATACACGTGGAAGTGTTTTAGGTTTGGGATATATATATATATATATATATATATATATATTCATTTAGTTGAAGAGTCAACTGATACAAGGTTGTCACTTTTTCAAAAAATATTTTCTAATTCCTCAAAAAATACTTTTTAGTTTTTAAATTCTTCTAGTCTTGAACGATAGATTTTTTAAGGTTTAGATGTGGCGCTATCTGTCTCGGTGTAGAATCCTGTTTAAATTAGAAATAGAGGGAAAAATAGAATTTTTTTCTTTTAATTAGTTAA